TATAAATTTTTTATTTCAAATATAATTAATTATACCAAAAAAATATAAGTAACAAATTTAACCAATAAACTAAGTTCAAAGATCAATTTAAACTAAAAATTAAATATAAGTATCTGATTAGAAAAAAAATCATAAATATCAAATTGAACCAATAAACTAAGTTCAAATGTTTAATTGGACAAAAAAATTTTAGATACCAAATTGACCTTGGAGCCAACATAAAGTCCCGAAATGTACATTTACCCATTTAATTAATAAGTGGCGTAGTTTAATGGGGTGCGTACGATAAAAAAATGTTCATGGGCATATTTTTTTCTCCCAAGTTATAGCGTTTTTCTTTTGCTTGCTTATTCATATTTATGCTGCTAACGTAGACTAGCGATTTCTTTTCAGAGTTTTTGACTAGTGATTATTGGAAATAAAATAAAAAATCAAAATAACATCTCCTTTTGCTTTCTCATTGTTTATGAACTATTTTTAATTTGTGGGTTGTTTTTTATTCTTCGTTTTGCTTTCAATGAGTGGTTGAAGCTGCTTTTTTTCCCCAGAGAAACAATAATGTTTTTGAGTGTTCATTTGCTTAGGAAGTTCTGTTGATTCAAAAGGTTCGTGAAGTCTCTCAAATCTCAGTTCTTTTTTAATTTTGGGTTTATGAGAAACTTGAAACTTTTGAGAGATTCATTTGTTTTCCTTCTTCGTTCCATATTTCTTGGAACTTCTACTAATATAGAGTTGATTCTTGTTGTGTTTTTGTTTCAGGCATTTGTTCTCATGGAGATTGATCCATAAGATTGAGGTAAGCAAACCATGTGAATATGGTCGAAAATCGCAGACTCGATCCTCTCGGCATAAGATTCTGTAATCTATTTCTTCGTTTTTGGTTCTGTTCTAGTTGCTTGATAGAGTATGAACTCTCCATCAACCGAACTTCCGAGAAGTATGGCGATATATGAGCAATTCCACCACATAAGCAGGTGGGGAGACGGCTTCGACAGCAACAATACCGGATCGTCCGCAATCGTGCCGGCAGATGTGGGGCTAAAGAACAAGGTGAAGTTGCATTACTGTTCTATTTCTTGGTTGGTGAGCATTTTCTGCAGTTCCATGCTATATAAAACTAAATTGTGCTGATTCGAATCGTAGGCTGAATATATATCTTGTGAGCAAGTTGAACCTTCCATAAGTGATCAAGAGACAAACAAACCCACCGATAAGGTAATGAACACATACATGTCCTACATGTTTCAATTGTATGTATCTTTTATTTACGGAACCATGATATGTGCAGATAAGGAGACGTCTGGCACAGAATCGAGAAGCTGCTCGCAAAAGCCGGTTGCGGAAAAAGGTAGATGGAAATGCATTCGATATAAAGAATTCACTAATGGTACTTATGAACCGGTTTTATCTTATAGGCCTATGTTCAACAACTAGAATCAAGTCGTTTGAAACTAGCTCAATTGGAGCAAGAGCTTGAAAGAGCTAGGCAGCAGGTATGTTTTCTCCCTTGGTAAAAGCAATGTCTCTTTCGATCGCGTTTCGAAACGTTGCATAGGTAACCGGTTCGTGAATGCCTTGATGCAGGGTATATACATAAGTGGTGCATCAGATACTGGTTGTTTTGGATTGCCTGGAACTGTAAACTCAGGTTTGTGGTCTTAAGTGGTAAACAATTTTAAGTAAAGGTTTCCGTCCCTATGGATATCACATTTATATCTTGCTTTCTTGTTTAGAATAGCTTCATTTGAATGTTCCAGGGATTACTGCATTCGAGATGGAGTACGCACACTGGGTTGAGGAGCAAAATAGACAGATTTGTGAACTTAGAACTGCACTCCAGGCACACGTTTCGGATATAGAGCTCCGTATACTGGTGGAAAGTGGCTTGAACCACTACTGTAATCTGTTCCGCATGAAGGCAGACGCTGCAAAGGCTGATGTTTTCTATCTGATCTCAGGCATTTGGAGAACTTCAGCCGAGCGTTTTTTCCACTGGATAGGAGGATTCCGCCCATCGGAGATTCTAAATGTAATTCTCAGTCGCATTTAACTCTTTTATTTTTCGACTGTTTTCAGTTAAATAATTATGTTTCTTCAGGTTGTGGTGCTACAAATTGAGCCATTGACCGATCAACAACATTTGGAGGTCTGCAATCTTCGACAATCATCTCAGCAAGCTGAAGATGCTCTTTCCCAAGGAGTAGATAAACTGCAGCAGAGTTTGGCCGAGGGCGTTGCATCCGATTTGTGCTCGGGAAACTACAAAGCTCAGATGGTTGATGCAATAGATAAGTTGGAAGCCCTAGAGAACTTTGTAAACCAGGCATGACATTACTAATTCATACTGAATATTTTCTTCTTCTTTTCTTTTATTTTCGTTTTCGGATTAAACACTCATAACATCAAGTGTTGTGAATTGCTCTGGTCTCATTCTATGCTTTTCCCTAAGATGTCCACATTGTTTACTGGAATATGCATGTTTCTTGCCAAGAACAGGCGGACCACCTTCGCCAGCAGACGTTGCAACAGATGGTTCGAATCCTGACGACCCGCCAAGCAGCTCGAGGTTTTCTTGCCATGGGGGAATACTTTCATCGTCTACGTGCTCTGAGTTCGCTTTGGGCTGCTCGTCCACGAGAATCCGGCTAACTTAGAGAACCATCAATGTGTAGGCTGTATGCACCAGAAGTTTGTTCCTCAAGGATTTTTGGTGGTCTTGGTTTATGAAGAATATGAACTACAATATATATATTTATGTATGTATGTATGTATGTATGTATATATGTATGTATGTATGTATGTATACTTATAGTTGTTCAAAGGAACTTCTTCGGCATAAAATGTGTAAATATGAATCCTCGTGCTGTATATCAAGAAGAATTTTGGGTGATTAAATTAAGATTTACTGGTGTTGTATAGCTTACTATATTCTTTGGATGCTGGATAATTATATTAGCAAGTTCCTGATTTCTTACTTTTGCATTTTTAGGTTATTTAATTTAGGGTCTAAAGACATTTTTGGCACCTCAAAGTTTTTAAAAAAATTTATTTCAGTCTAACATTTTTCATCTCTTTTGACCATCAAGCTTCTAACTTTTATCAAATTAAACCGACAGAAAAAGTAACAGATCCCTTAAACTGACATCAATTATTTTATTTTGTTATCCGTATTAACATCGATTATTTTAATTTTGTATAAAAATATTAAAAATAAAAATAATATTTAAAACTAATAAAATATTAACTATTATTAAAATATAAAATATTTTAAATTTTTTAAAAAATATAGGGTAAACTACATGTTTAGTACCCAGCTATCACTTTATTCTGTTGGTCACTCAATTATTTTTCCTTCAAAATCATACCTAGCGTTTAATTTTGGTTTCATTTTAGTCACCCGTCGTTAAAAAATTAACGGTGATACCGGTGTGTTACCATAAGATACTACCACATCATCATTGAAAAATTAAAAAATATGTCACGTCAATGTTTTGTTAAATTTTCAATTGTGGATGACCAAAATGAAACTAAAACTAACATTAGGTATGAATTTAAAAAAATAGTTGGGTGATCAAAATGTAATAAAAATGATAGTTGGGATACTAAATGTATATTTTACCCAAAAATATATTTATTATAAGGCTTAATGGAAAAACAAGTGCCCCGACTATATCATTTGTTAACTTTTAGTGCATAAAGAATTTTTCGCTCAAAGTATATGTTTAACATTTTTTGTTACTATTTTAAGTGTCTATGCTATAAAAACCATTAAAAAATTGTTATATGACACTTTATGTTTATAAACTTTTCAAAAATCAATAGTAAGATAATAATTTTTAATGGTCGTTACAACATATGTAGTTTAAATTATAATAGAAAAAACGTTATACACCTATTTTGAGTGAAAAATTCTTTAGAGACGTAAAGTTAACGAATGATATTATTTAGTCACTTATTTTTTCATTAACTCTTACTATTTTAACTCTAATTGTTTCTTTAAGGTATTATTGTAAGGATAAATATATATATTTTAGTATTTGGATTTTATTCCAAATTTCATTGGTAGTTGAATTTTTTGTCTAAATATTTTTTAATTAGATACTTAAATTTGATGTTTTATTCATTTTAATATATATATATATATATATATATATATATTAATTAGAATATTTCGTTTAATTTGGTGCTTACAGTTTTTTAGTCGAATTTGAACCAAGAAGTCGATTTTTGGTATCAATTTTAACCAAGGAAACAAGTTCAAATGTTTTTTTTAAAAGAAAAGTGAGAATTGGATTAAAAAAATTATTAAGTATAAAGCTGAACCAAAAAGGTAACTTCATGAGTCAATTTAAACCAAAGAGCTAAACTTAGGTACCTAATCGGATAAAGGAAACTTAAACTACCACATTGAATATTAAAGCAAAGTTCAAGTACCCGTGTATATATATATATATATGCCCTTATTTTAACCATAATCGAAAACAATCTGATAAAATAATGAGCAATCTATATATTTGGTCACCTACCTATTACTTTGTTTTTTTTGTCACCAACTATTATTATTTTTCAAAATCATACATAATGTTACGTTTTAGTTCTAATTGATCAATCGTCATTAAACAATTAACAGTGATACTGATGTAAAATTTTTAATTACTTTTCAATTCTGATGTGACATTATTTTATGATGACACATTAATATCACTGTTAATTTTTAACGCCACGTGACTAAATAGAACTAAAACGTAAAGTTAGGTATGATTTTAAAACAAAAAATAGTTTGTGACCAAAAAAGAAACTAAGTAATAGATGGATGAACAAATAGACAATTTACCCTAAAATAACGACTACCCGCCAGCTTCATCCACAAATTTCCCGGAAAAATAAAATAATTGTAGCCAGAAAAAGGAAATAGCACAAAATATTAATTTTTTCAATAATTTTTTTTAATTTCAGTCACATTCAAATTTTCGTAAACAGAACCCCTTCACTTCCTTCACGTCTACTTCCCCCTTTGTTTATTTTTTTTCTTTTGCTGTCTGCCACGCAAAATCCCCAATTCGAATCGATAAAACCCTAAATACTTAATTTCCTAAAATCTTATTTTCATTTCCTTTGATTTTAATTGTAATAACCCAAGCTCAAGCTCATAACCAATCCAAAGAAGAAGAAGAAGAAGAAGAAGAAGAAGAAGAAGAAGAAAAGAAGGAAATGAGCAATTTGAGGACAGTTTGTAGACCGCACATGGTATTTTCTTCGTTGATGTGTAGTAGTAGGCTCCTCCACCTCCATCAAGCTCGATCCAGAAGTAGGGTTTCCTTTCGAAACCCTGATTTCAGGTCGTCTTCGTTCTCTTCGTGGTTCCATTTGTCCAGAAATTTAAGCAGGAAGGAACCTTGGTTTCGGGTCAATCAAAGGAGAACTGCCGTTAGGGCATCGAATTGGTCGGACCAAAAATCCCCCTATGACACTCTTGGTAATTGTTTTAACCCTTTTGCGTTGTTAGCTCGATGAAAACAGCGACGCTCTTTTTTTAGTTTGGTTATATTCCAGAATTAGAAAGGGTTTTTTTTCTTCCTGGGTTTGCTAATTGATAAATATATAATTATATTGGAACTTTGATTTCTAAACAACAGAGTTAGAAAGGGATGCCGATGAAGAACAGATCAAGACTGCATACAGGCGTTTGGCCAAATTCTATCACCCTGATGGTATGTGTCTCTTTAAGTTTCATACGTGAAAAATTGTGTGTGTTTCAATATTAAGTCAATTCTTTTCAAGTATCTGCTGTCATTATGGTTTCAATATTAGCTGCTAGGTTACGTGGTGAATGATGAAATTTTTTTCTTGGGAATTATTTGGGGTGTTCCTCTTGGTAGGACATTTCCCCAGTAAAATTCATTTAACTGCATTAAATAAGAACTCCGCATCTGGGACTGTCGAGAGGAGAGTGCTATGATGTTATGTTGGAGAACTTAGCCCGTTGGCTCCAGGACTCTTTTTCGATGCTATAATAGATGTGTTTATCTAGTGAACCGAAAATTTGTTTCCATTTCATTGATTTCTTAAAATTTTTGCCATCTGTTCTTACTAACTGGTCAATTTTCAATTTGAAGTCTACGATGGTAAAGGGGCTCTTGAAGAAGGTGAAACTGCTGAAGAAAGATTCATCAAGATTCAAGCTGCTTATGAATTGCTCATAGATGTGGAGAGACGGAGGCAGTATGATATGGATAACCGAGTCAATCCAATGAAGGTAAGATATGCATTTTCTATGAAATTGAAATTGGGAACTGGATCTACTTAGATGATGCACGGTTTCCAAGTGATTTGTTATTGCTTTTTGTCTTCTTCTTTTTATGAAATTGAAGATTCTCTTAGCACAATGAGGGATTTAATATCCTCGATCCAAATTTATATCATAATTTTAAACTATAAACCGTGCTGTTTGCCCTTTATATAAATATGCGTTATTGACTTGGTTCTTAAAATTTTAATCATGCAACTTGAGGCAGACTTCCTACTAATTTTGTTGCCAAAGCCAATATGGTACCCGCACTCCTACTAAGTTTGAATTATTCTCCCCTTGTTTTTATTTTTATGAGCTAGAACCTTTTAAGCGTGGCATTTCCTAATTTTCTCCTTTATTCCAGGCATCAGAAGCATGGATGGAGTGGCTTATAAAAAAGAGAAAAGCTTGGGATCAGCGAGGAGATATGGCTGTTTCAGCTTGGGCAGAACAGCAGCAGCTTGAGTTGAATCTTCGTGTTCGCCGTCTTTCTCGTTCTAAGGTAACAAACTATTTCTGAAATTTCTCTAACTGTGTGAATGTATCAGGGTGGACTTTCTAAACATTGACTGGTTCACCATCGAAATTTTGGTAAGTTTTAGTGTTGTACACAGTGTAGAGCCGTAGATTCTAATAAAAGTACACATGATCTAGAATTGAAGAAATAGATTTGCATTTTTAGAATTTGATCTTCGAGCTTCAAACTAATTCCAGATTGTGACTCAAAATCCGTAAGATTGTTGATATTATACTAGTGTTTTCCATTATCCACACACGACTGACTTCATTATTTTATATTTCAGTCAAACAGATAGTCTCTCCAATATAGTTGCTGCAAATTCTAAAATTTGTATTTGGGTGGAATTTCAGATAGATCCTGATGAAGAAAGAAAAATCTTGGCAAAAGAGAAAAAGGCATCAATAGAACATTTCAACAACACTCTTAAGCGGCATACTCTAGTGCTAAAGAAAAGGGATTTGATGCGAAAGAAAACAGAAGAGGAAAAGAAAAAGGTCATAAGTCAGCTTTTAGCTGCAGAAGGCCTTGAGCTTGATACAGATGATGAATCTCAGTAAAATATGTTGTACATATGGCAAACACACTAAATTCTTTATGTTGCACCTCCCCGATGCATAATCGCATATACATACGACACTTTTGTGCTTAAACGAAAGGCAGAAAGAGAAACTGTATATAAAATTGTTTCAAGGAAGGGAATGTTATTCCTGGTTAAATCTCTCCACCTTTTTGAATGCGGATGTGCTGTGTTGTGTTGGATGTATGCAACAGCATGGACTGGTGCATACGGTGGCTAATGGCCTTGCGAAGTGAATATAGAAGGTGACCGGTTTAAAAGCCAGCGTCTAATCGGGATGGTCTGATCTGAATATCGAACACCACATTAGTCACCAAATGACTTGGAACAAAAACTAACCCAAATTCATATTATTATTTTTCTTCATAAAAACACTACCATACAACATTAGCAGAAACATACATATTGTAAGTCAATGTAAGCAAGTCATCTCCAAAACATATTTACAACCATTAATTTCACTATCAAATGATCGGGTGTAAACTTGTCATTTTATACGTACTTTCGTAAAGCATTAGACAACCTTATTTTAACTTTACCAAGTTTATACACACTTAAAATAGAAGCCCAAAGAATTTCAGCTAAAATGAAGTTATATTTTGAAGTGAATTGCACATATAGGTTTTTTAGGGATCAGATTGAATTAATTTCAATACTTCATTTGATGTAAAAGGTGGTTTATTTATGAAATTAGATTGAAAAAAGTCTATTGTTTTAAATCTCCAAGTCATTTGAATTAAAATACTCCTTAATTGCATTTTAAAAATCAAATAACTAAATTATAAGAAGCTCAAAACACATAAAAAAACCTGAATCAAATACCAAATTCTAGTAGTTGAATTTGATACCGATATTGTCATGTCAATATCGATACTACTCTATCAATATTGGTACTCATGGCTCAACCACATAAAAATACCCTAGCATGTCGAATTTGACAACCAAAATTTAGACTGTGGCAGATTTTGCGTGCATATTAAGCTCTAACACTTTTATTTCAGAATTTCTGGTTGTTACAAAATTTCATCAAGTTATATTAACCTTATTTATCATATTAAACGTGGGTCTTTTTAACACATAATCATTAAACCTAGTGTCGTAACCGGTTTTGGTCCGGGCACGAAATATTTATTTGGCGGTGAAATTGATGTGAATAAATGGTTTTGGAAATAATTTAGGAGTCGTCATCGGCCTTTTGGGTCAGGTAGGTCGAATACCTAAAAAATATCTTTTAAAAGAGTTTTTAAGAAAACATCAATTAAAAGATAAACTGATCTGCGTTTTAACCAAAAATTCGTTCTTTTTAATAATAAAAAGGGATTCGTGGTCGGTTACGTTTAGGGAAGGATTAGCACCCCTACAACGCCCAACATTGGTACTTTTTAATTATAAATTGTCTCTAGTATTAAAAATTCAAAAATATATTTAATTTATAATCCTATTATTTCAAAATTATATAAATAATATTTATTTATTTATTTAAAAATATTAGAAAAGAACTTCTAGGTGCCTTAAGACAGCTCTTTTCTTTGATATTAATAAAATTGATTTTAAATAAAATTAAATAATAATTTTAATAATATTTAATTTTAAAATACCAGAATAGGACATCCAGTTATATTAAGACTGTCCTTTTCTTCGATATTGAAAAATATTAAATAATTTATTTAAAAAAATATATAAATTATTATGTATCATATATATTTATGACTATATAATAATAATAAAAATATTTAAATATATAAACAATTAAAACAATAAAAATACCATTAGAATGATATATTTAAAAGCAGTAAAATAAATGAAAACATTTAAAATTAGTGACTAAATTATAGTAAAATTAAAATTAAAAACCTAATTCATAATTAATCAAAATTATAGGGTTTAAACATGTTATTTTCTTATTTTATTAATTTAGTGACTAAAATAAAACTATATAAAATTCGGATAATAAATTAAAATAAATTAAAAAATATAAAATCGGTATTAAAATAATAATTAATAAACCATGAGGGACTAATTTGATATTTACCTATATATATATATATATATATTCTGATAAGGACTAAATTAAAATAAAATAAAATTAGAAGACCAAATTAAAATAATCAAAAACTACTTTCAGTGACTAAATCGTAAGGATTACAAACTATAGTGACTGCGGAAATGGTTTACCCATGATGGAAATTACACAGATACCCTCATCAAAACGGCGTCGTTTTGATGAGGGTATTTATACCCATTTAAGCCGGCCCTAAGGGCCATCTTTCTCACTTCTCTGGTTTTGCTTCTCTCTCTTTAGAGATAGAAGCTCTCGTTTTCTCTCGCCGGAAGAGAAAACCGGCCTCCGTTTCCGGCGACGATCGCCACCGCCGGCCACCGCTCACGGTGACCGGAATTCCTAAATTACTCTAGAGCATAGATCTCGACCTTCTAAGGCCGAATATGGCCTCCGTTTGTCCTAAAATGCTCTAGATCGTTCTAGATCTAAATAAATCGAAGGTTTTACCTTCGGTTTTACAATGATTCCGGTGGTTCCAGACGATTTAAAGGCTTCTACGATGGTAAGATGCTCCTTTTCCTCTTCTTTCTGGTTATTGGCTTGCTGTGATTATCTTCCTTTCGTTTTTTTTTCTTTTCTGTTTTCTATTTTTTGTTCTCTGTCTCTCTGTGGCTGTCTGTTCTTCTTTTCTTTCGTAGGTATGGTGGCTTTTATAGCCACCACGAGGTTCTGTTTGGACCGGTCCCGAGAGGGATGTCTAGGTGAGTCACCATAGCTATGCTGGTGACTCACCATGGAGCTCGATTTGGGCTGCCATCTGGTGTTCTGGAATCTACGGCGGCGAGGTGGCGTGGCAAAGCAGCGTCGGCAGTGACTGGTTGGACCATCTGGCAGTGGAGGCGTCGGCAGCAGCGTCTGGAAGCTGGAGAGGCAGCTTGAGGCTTCTGGAAGCGGCGGCTGGGAGCTAGGGTTTGAAAACCCTAGCTGAAACCCTAAATTGGTTTAGGGTTTCCATCTGGTCTGGGCCAATTCTAGGTCACTGTTGGGCTTCAAATTGTAAATGGGCTCGGGGATCTTGTAAAATGGGTTTGTAATATTTATTTTTTATTTAATAATAATAATATAAATTAATAATTAATAATAATAAAATGAACTGAAAAATTATTGTCTACAGCTGCCCCTCTTTGCTCATTCTTGTGTTAACAAGAATAGAGCAAAGACGAAAAAAACAATAATTTTTCATTCGGCTTATTTTAAGTAATATGGAAATGTTGAAAACATCATGCACTGAAGGGCTTACAGATGACCTAAGGCTTTGAAAACATCAAAAAGCTCCTGAAGGCTTTTTGGAAACATCATGCACTGTAGGACTTACAGATGACCCTAAGGCTTTGAAAACATCAAAAAGCTCCCGAAGGCTTTTTGGAAACATCATGCACTGTAGGACTTACAGATGACCCGAAGGCTTTGAAAACATCAAAAAGCTCCCGAAGGCTTTTTGGAAACATCATGCACTGAAGGACTTATAGATGACCCGAAGGCTTTAAAAACATCAAAAAGCTCCCGAAGGCTTTTTGGAAACATCATGCACTGAAGGACTTACAGATGACCTGAAGGCTTTAAGAACATCAAAAAGCTCTCGAAGGCTTTTTGGAAACATCATGCACTGAAGGACTTATAGATGAGGGAAATAGTTTACTAAGTAAAAAACTAAGGAAATCGTTTTCTTACTTTTCAACAATTTCATTTTAGAAAAGATGAATGAGAAACTATGGAAATCGTTTTCTCATTATTTTTCAAAATAACATGTGATTGGGTAACATGCCCCAATTTCAAGATAATTTTCATTCTTGTGGATTGCATCCATCTCTTCTTCACTTGATTAATATGGAGATGTTGAATAAATTCTTCTCTTTCTTCAGAAGAGTTCTTCTCATTATGAACTTTCCGCTGGGGATGATGTTGACCTATTTCCTGTGATAGAGTCATTCAAAAAGTTGAATAAGCTCTTGATGAGTTCTTCTCATTATGAACTTTCTCTAGAAAGGCTGATGCTAATCTATCTCCTTCTGTGATAGAATTATGCAAAAAGTTGAACAAATTCTTCTTATTATGAACTTCTTCTTCCTTCTTCAGATGAGTTCTTCCCATTATGAACTTCTCTAGAAAAGTTGTTCCATCAAGTGATGTATTTGAGCAAAAGGTTGAACAAATTCTTCTTATTATGAACTTCTTATTCCTTCTTCAGATGAGTTCTTCTCATTATGAACCTTCTCTGGCAAAAATAATCCATCAAGTGATGAATTCAGACAAAAGGTTGAACAAATTCTTCTCATTATGAACTTCTTCTTCCTTCTTCAGATGAGTTCTTCTCATTATGAACTTTCTCTGGAAATGATGATCCATCAAATAATAGATTCAAGTAAAAGGTTGAACAAATTCTTCTCATTATGAACTTCTTCTTCCTTCTTCAGATAAGTTCTTCTCATTATGAACTTTCTCTGGAAATGATGATCCATCAAATGATGGATTCAAGTAAAAGGTTGAACAAATTCTTCTCATTATGAACTTCTTCTTCCTTCTTCATATGAGTTCTTCTCATTATGAACTTCTATAGAAATGCCAATCCATCGAATGATGGATTGGAGCAAAAGGTTGAACAAATTCTTCTCATTATGAATTTCTTCTTCCTTCTTCAGATGAGTTCTTCTCATTATGAACTCGACCTGGAATGTTGATCCATTGAATGATGGATTTGAACTTTGCTAAAATCTTTGAAATTCCTGTCAAATATTCAACATGGATAAAATGAATGAAAATGCTCCTATTTTGCAAATGTCTAAATATGATGCATGAATGTTGATGCAATCTTCGTTTAACTTCAAAATGGTGAACTCGGTTTTCCTCCACTTCATCATTTATTGCCAGGGTCACCTCTGGATATCAGTGTAGCAACTTATGCTATCAAGCTTACATTTCTGAAGAACCATCTGATCAACTTGTATCTTTATGTCTTCTTTGCTTCATGAAAGTCTCAGAAGAATTGTTTCACTTGTGGAA